AGCGGGACCATGGATGAAAGGTTCAACAAGTGGCTGCTGACGCCGGTGCTCACTCTCCTCTTCGTGGTCATCATGTACCAGTACGTGTCCCCGTCCTGCACCAGCTCGGCCCCAGCTGCCCCCGCCGCCCCGGGGCCCGCCCGAAGGCCCTCGGGGGGTCGCGACGCTGGAGGATGAGGACGAAGAGCCTGGGGACCCGGAGGAGGAGGAGGAGACGGAGGAGGAGGAAGAGGAGCCGGACCCGGAAGCCCCGGAGAACGGCTCGGTGCCCCGGTTCGTGCCGCGCTTTAACTTCACCCTGAAGGACCTGACCCGCTTCGTGGATTTCAACATCAAAGGGCGCGACGTGATCGTGTTTCTGCACATCCAGAAGACCGGGGGCACCACATTCGGCCGGCACCTGGTGAAGAACATCCGGCTGGAGCAGCCCTGTAGCTGCAAAGCCGGCCAGAAGAAGTGCACCTGCCACCGACCGGGCAAGAAAGAGACGTGGCTCTTCTCCCGTTTCTCCACCGGCTGGAGCTGCGGGCTGCACGCCGACTGGACAGAGCTCACCAACTGCGTGCCAGCCATCATGGAGAAGAAGGATTGTCCTCGCAACCACAGCCACACCAGGTACTGTCCCCTGTCCTGTCTCATCCTGTCTCACTTCCTGTCACCTCCCTGCCCTCGTCTCCAGAGTCCAGACCCTGGCAGGGTCGCAGTCCCTGCGCGTGCTTGGTGGATCCCGGCGTCCCCCCGCAGCTGGGGCAGAGTCTTTGGGAGAGGGACGAAAAACCTCTGGATAGTGGGGTCTTGAACTCGCCCCTCCCCTAGTTCCCTCCGCTTCCTGCCACCCTCCTTTCGCCTTCAACTATGTCTGGAGCCGATGTGCATATCCTGGCTGGTGCCTAGCACTGTTTGGCCTCTCTTGGAGCAAAGGCTCAGAAAGTCCCAGGGAATGGCTAGGTGGTCAGGAGGTCTGGAATAGACCAGCAAGGTCGAATCTTGTACTTAAGTTTTGTCTTGGAAACCCAATTCCAGTAAAAGGTAGGGGAAGCTGGGAGAAGAGAGGCAGGGCAGTTTTCCAGGCATGGTGAAGCTGGAGATGAGTACTGAATAATCCCTAAGTGGCTCTTGGGTGGATGTTCGCCAGCTCAGGAAATAATCCTCCTGAGAATGGAAGATCCACGTGCGCATTCTTGCTTTACCTCCAGAACCCCAGTTCAGGAGATGGTCTTTGTTACCCAGCTGTGTCAGGATTTGGACTTATGCTGTTCTCAGCGAGATTTCCACTTTCCTCCTAAGCCATTCCATCAACTTATTCTAAAAGTATTTATGAAATGCCTACTATGTTCCTGGTACAGTGCTAAGTGGATATGAAGATAAAATAAATAATTATGATCCCTTGCTTTCAGAATGGAATGGCTTTCTCTATCCCTTCCTCTTTTAAATACAAATATGTTTGAGAATGAGGAAAGTTTGAAATCTTAATCGCCAATGAAACTGCTTACATTATTAACCTCCTTTGAGAGAGAGACATGGGCTTAAGAATTTGGTTGAATGTACTCTCTGCCCATTGCAATTTGAAGATTAATCTGACATACTCACTCAAGGGACTAAGATATTAAAAGCTGAAACACTAGTTTATTGAAGTTTCTATCTCAAAGGTGTCAAACAAATTGGTGTAAGGAAAGAGGAATTTAAGAACTCCAGCTCAATATGTTGATATCAGATAGCTTTTACATTTGACATCATGGAAAAGCTTCATTTACTGGAAACTACCCAGATTCTGGAATTCGCCACCACTGAAGCATCTAATTCTACCTCACTTCTCCAGGAATGAGCAAAATTTCATTATGGGTTTTTTTTTTTACTCTGGCAGTTTTTCAAGTACTTTCTCTTTTCCCTTCTCCTTTCCCTGTCTTATGGCAGTTGGCTAGAATTAGGAAACTGTTTGGAGTTAGGGCATTTGGTCTTTTAGTATATTTTAAGGATCTTTTAAATATTTTACTAGTGTATCATTTTAGGTCCTGCCATTCTATTTTAGTTTAAAACTATTTTTCAAATGAAGTATTACTTCCAAACCTCCTAACACGTAACACTACTACTTCAGTGAGAGAGGATCAGTCTGCTACATTTCAGCCAATGTTGTAGTTGTATTTAGATCTTATGTATGAATTCCTAGTTGACCTCAAAGACTGCTAGTATGCTTTTCAGCTTCCATTCCACTAAAACTGGACACTTTGATCATCGCATAGAAATTTCTTATGACTCTGCAGTAGGGCTTTGTATTATTATGTGTATGTGTGTATATGTGTGTGTGTACATACACCAGTATACTTAAAAGTCTGGGTGAATAGATGAAGATTTAGCAGGAATTAGAGGAGAACATGGGATACAAAATACCAGGATTTTTGCTTAGTGATGAAATGATACTGCTTCTATAGTTCCTGCAGACATTGAAAGCAGTGAGGTCTCCTGCAGGAAATACTTTGTGTCTCTACTCTGTGATGTAGGAAAATTCCACCTTGGCCATTTAAACCTATAGTTTCTATTGCATGATCAAATTATTTTCTTTGTTTAGTGATGGATCATAAACACTTGTTTTGATAACCTGAGAGTCTCCCTGAATCATAGGTTATCAAATAATCAGTCATCCTGTGCTGGTTTTTCTTTTCCTTTTTGTTTTCTTATTTTTTTTAAAAAATGTTTTGTGGTAGTATATTCTTTGGATCACTTTTTATAATTCTCTCCATTGTTTCTCTCACCCTCTTTCTCTCTCTCTTCCTAGGAATTCTTACTTTTCTTCTCTAGACAGTGTAGAAAAGAATTGTGGTGGCGTATGTGAAGTGCCTTGCATCCAAGCTGTGGAGAAAAAGTTGAAAAGATGGTAGCAGTAGCATCTTCTTAGCAAAGATAGATTGAATTAGTTGCCTGTCATAGTAATGTCTGCATACAGCATTCTACAGTCAAAAAGATTAGCCTGGACAATGGAGAGTACATATCCACAATGTGAAATGGCAGATAATCTATTGCTACATAATGGGAACAAGGTTCTACTTCAAATAAGGCTGACTCTAAGCAAAATTAAGAAGTAGATCCTGTTGATTTTAGTTTTCTAGTCTTGTTGCTTTCGGTCGCCCTGAGATACCTTCTCCTCATTTATCTCAGGGACTAGTGGATCACATAATGGGTAAGAGCAAGGATTCTAGAATCAGATGACCATGGCTCTTGTGCTTACTAGTTGTGTAACCAGGAGCAAGTTGCTTTTCCTGAACCTCAGATTCGTCACCTTAGAGTGTAGATAATAATGAGTTCATCCTCTCATGCTGGCCTTAGAATAAATGAGATACTGCATGTAAAATGCTTAGCATAGTATATAAGCATAGTATACTATGCTGGTCTATAGTTTTAATACTCAGTGTGTAGGTAAATAATAATACTGTGATAACAGTTGTGAATTATAGTAAGGATATTTCTCTAATCAAGGCTTTCTTTCATCAAAGGACCTGAGGTCAGTTCCTTTGAGCAGCTCACTATAAATGGGTCACTTTTACTTACAGAGATGCCATTTTATGACAGTTTGTTCTGAGGATCCTGTGTTCCAAACTTAAGTAAAACACTGAAATTAATAGACATTCAGGCATTAGTGATTGCAGGGGCAAGGTGAGAAACAGAGATGGTGAGACTCACAATTTAACTGGATATACATTCAGTTCGTGATAAGAAAAATGGTCCAGAATGGTGAGAGAGGAGAAGGGTAGTATCTAGGACAGAAGGCAGAAAGAAGCAGGACATACTCTGAGAGAGAAATGGCAGAGTCAGAGGCACCCTCATGTAGACTGTGGATTTAAGAGAGGACCACATTCCAGGTCAGTGGTTTGGATCCAATACAGAGGTCATTTCTGACCACAGAAATTGGTCAAGAGTATGGTGGGAAGTTGTTGAAAGAAGGCACAGATGAACAACTCTTTTATCGTATGACCGATGTTTTCTTCCTGTTATTTTTGTGTTGCTCTTTCCCCCAATTATTTCTTTGGTAGACTGTTCTTCTCACTCTCATTATGTGTTCCTCTTTGCTATGGTATGTTTTCCCCCTTTCCCTGCATGCCCAAATCTTTAGAAGACTTTTCTTTAACATTGTAGAGTATGGTAGAATCATTGCATTTTATGGCCAAAAAAAAAGACTGAAGAGTTTACACTAGTTCACGGTTTTCATGGATAATCTAAACCTAAAAATGTAAAGTGGGAATTTAGGTCTTCATTGTAATAATATATTAAGTGTTTTACCATCTAGATCTTCTGTTTACCATGAAAATATAGTGGAGAGTATCTTAAGAACCTACCTATCATGTGCCAGAGATGATGACAGTTCTAGAAATAAAGTTTTGAAGAGTGTTAGCCCCATGAAACCAGGCTATAAGGGAAGATAGGCCTGAATCTTTGGTAGGTGGATCATTCCCATTCTTCAATAATGTTGGGAAAATATTTCATCTGTATCCTTTTGTAGGTTGGGATGGCAATTTTTCTCTTTAATGACCTACATTCTATTGGTCCTGTTAGAATTGTTGGAAGTCTGGGGATATGCTATTAAACTGGACCCTCTGTGTTGCAAGTGATAAAAAGCTAATTCCAACTTGGT